AAAAATTGAAAGATTTAAAAGGAATAGAAATTTTCAACAGGACGATGTATTAGTCATCTTTTAAATCTTGGTATATCGTGGCTGGAGATACTCCTAGATGTGAGAAGCTATTATAGTGACTAGAATGTACAACTGTGTGTGTTGCAACTGATTTTGTCGTATGGTTTGTTCATCAACAATCTTCTGGTTGGTATGACCAAATATATTCAATCAAACTGAAGGTCGATTATTCAAATAGTGAATTATTTGAATTGACTCGGCCCCATGTATACTATTTTTCATATGTACCAGGGCCCTTTTCGAATACCTGACTTGGGTTCCGTCTCAGGCTTCGTTCCCAAAACCAATCCCCAAATGTGGGCCTGAAGCGTTTAAATTAAATTGGATTACTGTAACTTCTGGCTCTCTTGAATCTTCTTTGATGTTTTGTGGCACTATTAAACTAATTACTGTGCTTACAGCTTCAACGTCAGCTCGTTAAAAAACAGTTGAAGCTTGAGACGGAGCCGAAGTTGAGTATTGGAAAAATGCCCAGTATTCTGCGTAACTTCATTGCTGCTGATATACAGTACACGATGTATGTACAGTTGGGGCAAAAAGTTTGCATATACTTACACAGTTTTCCTCAATTTTTCGCCATTTGAAATAGTTTTGCCAACTTTTTTTGGAGATCAGACATATTATATCTCAAATTAATGGTCATAGCCTGTACCGGTACTTCAATTGAAAATACTTAGAGACATTTATTATGGTTCAAAATATTAATATTTCTAACAAATCATTTCCTGAAAATTTACATCTACCCCCCTTATTGTCGTTCAGAAACACTTCAGAAAGTGGTCCACTGTGACTGTGAGATGTGACCATAAATACAGACAGTGGCGCTAAATATTAGGGTTGGAATAAGTAAGATTTAGATTTTTTGTAACGTATATAGATACACTGTATGAATCATGTACACGTATGTGCCTGGGTGTTTTTATTTGATGCATACGCCATGTACATTAAGTAGAGACCCAGCTTGTCTGTCCTCATGAAAAGAAAAGTTGGTAGGAATGAGTTAAGTTGTGAACTTTCAGGAAAATCTTTTTTTTGTTCTACCAGGTGAACGTAAACATTTAGCCCCAACTGGATGTAGGTCTTTTATCCCTGCTGTTTTTTTACTCAGTGTCTATCATTATTAATTAAACATGCCTTTCGCTATTGAATGCTGAATGGTGTTTGTTTTCACAGGATGCTGCAGTGCTGAGGTTGATTATGGTCCCTTTTCGCCTCCTTGTAAATTACATGTATCTATTCAATGTCCTGTTCAATAATGCTATTTCATGGTCGTTGAGTTCTTGCTGGTTTTTTTTTTTTTTTTGGTGCTTTTTTTGACTTTTTCAAGTCAACCTAGTAGCATTTAGATCTTAGAATGTTGCACACCTTTCTCATACCCACCTAACCACAAACTCCCTTTCTGGACCAGCCCCAGGCCCCCCTCAAAACTCACCCATCATTTGCTCCTTTGACCAATTCCTGCCGCTGACATACTTGTTGAAGAAAAAAAAAGAGTCCAATAAGAACAAGTGTCTTAAAATAGAAGGTCAGCGGTCTGAGTGGAAGGATATTTTCCCTCTTTGTTCTCTGCCTTCTCTCTGCCTTGTGAGAAGATGACCTTAAGATTTCCCCCAGTGTGCACAACTCTTTGTTAGGGCAGTATGCTGATTTCTTCCAGGGTCAGTGTGACCGTGGTGGGGACTCAGCAAGTGGTTGTGAAAGATTTGTCAGTCTGTTTTTTTTGGGGGGGGGGAGGCACTCTCTCTTGTACCTCTTAGCTCTGTGTTGGTAACACAAAGATTATAACCAGTTCCTCCATAATCGGAGCCTCTGCTCGGAAGACAAAGCAGTGAGAGAATCCCAAACGGAAAAAGATGCTCTCTGACAGTGCCATAGATGGGTCAACGTGTCAGTCATAGTTGGTTTTGGGGCAGCCAGTAGAGTTCATTCTAGAGCCGATGCCCTTTGTGCACTTTATCAGTAATGCCAACAGAGCGGTGGCATTGGGGGATCATTTGAAAGAGGAAAGAGAGATCAGTTTGAACAATTCAAGAAAAAAAAAGGTGGAAAACCTCGCCGGTGGGAAGACTCTTTAGCTTATGTTCACATAGTGCACACCTTGACGAAACGGCCCTGGATGATGTCTCCTTCCTGTGATGGAGCACATGTACACATGTATACTCATGTGAGATGGTTGCCCACCGGCAGAATTCCAGCGGGGGCCAAACGCTCAAGGAGCTAATCAGTCAAGCATGTAGAGGTGTCTTCAACCAGCACGCTTGCAAACCTTAATAACCCCTACCTCTGAAATGGCCAGGGCTGTTCTATTGTACGAGGGAGGAAGGGAGAAGACAAAAGTCAGGCATTCCATGTGTGAGGAGTGCGTGGGTGCAAACGCAGAGGCGCTGCGTGGATGAAAGGACAGCGAGGGGGGTGGGATGGCATGCCATGCAGATTGCATCCTGCTTTGACTGACAATAGGGTTAAGAGGGCTTTGGTAGGGGCTCCTGAAGAAACAACTCAAAGAGCAAGGGACAATGGAACTGGATTGGGTAGGAGGCTGATTGACTATAACTGTCCCTTTACCTCTCCAAGACTTTAATGCCTTAGCCACACATGAGGGACGTATACCAGACCCCCACATACCAGGCATTGTCAAGGAACCCGATTGTGTACACAAGTCTCCACTAAAGTGGAATCTGTAGTCAGCCCTGCAGCGGGAATGTCAACGTTCGTTTGCTGAAAAACCAGCTTAGATTTTTCAGTTGTTGTGGTTGTTTTCCCTTCTCCTTGTACCCAACCACTCTTTACTCGTTGTCGACTTTGGGATCACCGTGAAATGTAACATTGAGCTTGATATTTGAACTAGCGCAGGAGGAAGCCAAACTGGCCTAGATAAACTATGGTATGTACACAGACAGTTAGTTGGTGATTAGCTTTATCAGGTTGGTTATCTCTGTCAAACATGCCAAAGTGGTGGCAGAATTTTGAGGGCTTTTTTTGGGGGGGGCAATTTGGTGACTGAACCGACTTTGTCCTGCAGTGTGAGATCCGAAAGGTTGTTATCTCTTTTTTCTGATCTCATTCGGTAACGCTTCTGTGTTGTTTGGCTTTTGACTTTTGGCTTGTGTGTGGCCACACATATTTGAGTTTCTGGGAAGTCGGAAATGCACAAGAGAAGCGAAACTGTTGAAATCCCTCCAGGACTTTTTTTTTTCCGACTTGTTTCCTCACTGAACTAATTTTGAACTGTCAACAAAATCACCTCAAACGTCCCCCGGTTTCCAGTTTCAAAATAATTTGGAGAAAAAATGCTACTGGTGTTTTCGATTTTTCAAAACTTGCCTCTCTTCAACCCCCCCCCAAAAACCGGCGAAAAAAAAAAGAGACTTGGATTTTCACCCATGAAAGCAAAAAAGTTACTGGGCTTTTCTGCCACGCGGGGTAACACCTGACAAGTTTTGTTGAAAAAGGAAAACTGCATGATTCAGAGTTTTTTTGACAAGAGTCTATTCATCGAAAAAATGGCAAGTATTTCAGAAGGCCAGAGGGGTTTGTCACTGGCGACAAAAGAACGTATGAATGGTGGGGAAACTTGTACAGAAAAGTAATATCGAGCCTTTCATTTGTGCTGTATCCAACATCTGCCTTAAAAAAAAAAGACTTTTATGAAGAATGTGTGCTAGTTTGAAAACAGGCACTTAAATGTGTATGTGAATATATTTCTCTTCTCTCTCTCTTTTTTTTTTTTTGGTGCTTCGTGTTGTATGTGCCTGTACTTTTAATTGTAGCCAGGATTCTGCCTGGCAGTGTCTACATTTGTCATGAAGAAATGACCAGTTTGAATTTGAGCTGTTTGAAAGGCCACGGAATAAACATGGTTCACATTTCTTCAACAACTTGCATCCATTTGAAATGGCTGGACAAATCTCTCCGAGGAGCAGCTTTCCACAAAGTTACATGTACCAAGGACTGAAAAACATACTTATATGTGATGGCAATAAACGTACGTTTGGAATGTAGACGTTGTTTAAAAAAATTGTTTGAATTCATGGTATAACGAAAAACTGGACATGTGGATTTGGAATTAAAAAATTATTCTGCTGCTTAAAGTGATTCTGTGAAATTTGTTGGGCTACTTTGGTTGAGCCTTCTGCCCTTGGATGTTATTTTTCGTTTTCACTACCAACAGGGTAATCTAAAATGTTCAAAGTCAAGTCCAAGCAGCTTGCAAGTTTGAGTTAATGATAAAGTGTGTGGTGATTGTTGGAGGACAAACAGTCCAGTTGACTGGTACATGCACATGACCCAAAGACCTCATTTTGTGTAATGATAACACAGTGAATTATGTCCAAGAGGAATTTTGACCTGCTTTCTGGTGTCCCAGATGTATTAAAAAGGGGTGATGTACTGTACATGCATGTATACGGGTGTGTATTGTGCGACATCAGTGCGCTGGAGTTTGTCACAGCAAGCCGTTTCGGTATTTTGAGAGAGCAAGGGCGTTCAGGAACGCAGCATGCACGCGAGCCTGCGCACCAGTAGGGCTGCGCCGATAGGACAGACCTTACATGCGCACGTTCGAATGACCTCAGACGTGCTTCATTTTCGGTAGGCGCTGTCGGAACACTGCATTATGTACATGTAGCTCATCGTAAAATCAAGCTCACCTTTCAGGAACTGTTTTATGTAAAAGGAAAAAAAAATTATTTGATATTCACAGGAAAAAGAAATGATTATAAAAAATGCCCCTTTTTGAAGAGGATGCATGAAAAAAACTTGTCAACAGGGGATGTTCCAGCAGTCTTTCTGTTAATACGAAATACATACATGCACCTTTCAGACGGGGTTTCTCTAATCTGAAACATGATTCTGAGAAAATGTTACCACAATATATTCATGTTACAGGATGCATTCATTTGATTGATTTTTTTGTGTGTCTTTCAATTTCCATCCACCAGATTAACCAAGCCACAGACTTTTGCTGACTGCATTGGAGACGGTAAGTATCTTTTCATTGTAAAAACTTCTTGCTCATGTCCAACGTTCAAATTCCTTGCAAATGTTCATGCGCTTGTGCACAACATTGGAGTACCGCATTAGTGACTGCACGGGTACAGTGAACTTTCCGTAGTGACTGATGTGAATTGGAGTCAGAAGTAGATATTAATGTGTAGGACTGCTGCTGAAGTGGCAGTGGAATGATAACTGATAATCGGTCTTCCAATGCACATAAGTTTAGGCGCTGCATTCGACTAAGTTATTTTATCAACATTTTCTTGTTTCCATTTCAATTTTTAACTCTCGCTGTATATTGTGAATTCAGAAGTCGACGTTGTCATCAAAGACAAATTCTTGGGTTTTTTTTGTGCTGCATAGTTTTCAGGGAATCTTTCAGAACAATATCCTGTCTGTTCAAAAGATTGTACATGTACTTAATGTAAAAAAAAATGAAGAGAGATAGAAAAGCCACTCTTAATTGTTTTGGTCACGACTCCTGACCAAAATTATTTTCTCTAGAGAATGCAGCACAGAGATGTGGTTTTTCATTTGAACAGCTCTGTGACACAGTGGTACATGGTATTTGAAAGGCAAGGGGAGTGGAATGAAACTAGAATGCTTGCGTTGCTGCTTGTTGCATTCCTTTGATGTGATTTGGTTTCTTTTCCCCCTGAATTTTAGAGTTGCCTTTCGGCTGGGAGGAGGCGTATGATCCTGTTTTGGGCATTTACTTCATAGACCACCTCAACCGTAAGTGTACGCTTGCTCTGTTGCACTTTTAAAAACTGGCCTTCCCAATTGGGCCAACCTTCAACATTTGGGTCCAGCTCCACAGAGTTGCTAAAATTGCAAAAATTATTTGCTTGGTAAAAATAAGTTACCAGTCAAACATGCCACACACTGTATCCCATGGAGGATTTTTAGTCACCGTGATTTTTGGGGGTCAGCATTCAATGTACACAGATGTGTGCAAGAACGCGCGCACACGTCTTTGAAGTCTCTCCACTTCTGGCAAACATGGAACTACTCGTACCAATAGAAATACACAGATTCCAAAACGCATGCACCTCCGCAGAACTGGTATGCTTCCTGAAATGCCTTCAGCCGTCATGGTACATCACGTGAAAAACCTATGTACATCTTGCTACCAGTTCTCTGCTGATTTTTTGGTGAGCACTGTGCATATGAATACTCTTTCTGCTTGGCCACTCTGTATAAAATGGGTTCTGGTTTCGCATGATCTTGTTGAATTTGAGCCTTTAAAGTCTCGCAAATTTTTAATAATAATTTATGGCATGTGGAGTTTGTTTCAGACAAAAACCACGCATCAGTGTTTTTTTTTTAAGTGAGTAATGTTGGATTTTTGTCTCCGATCTCCGCAAAGCTTTCTTGTAAACCTACTGTTGGTAGGGAGTAAGTGAGGTGTTGGATATGAGATAGTCAGCAGTGTTTCATGGCGTGGTTGTGGACTGGAGCCACACTGCAGTCATGCTTTTTTGGTAGCTCAGGCTCCACCATTGGAGACTCGGCATGCCGGCTTGCAAACTCAAATCATCATTCCCGATTTCCATCAATTTGTTCAGATTATTAACCTGTACATACAAATGTACATATATAATTCCACCCAGCAGTGCTAATGAATAGTGCACCCAGTGTGTTACAAACAGTGTATTTCACGGTTTTTCAAACTTCTCATAAAGTCCATGCAAGGTTTAGTTCCCCCCCCAATCCATCAAAAATTAATCAAGTGGGTTTGGAAGGATGTTGAAGGATAAAGGGGAGAGAGAATACAGTTACTACCGCTTCACATGGACCTGGATGCCCCTTGAAATGCAGCACTTGAAAAAAAGTGATACATTCCCATCAGCTGGAAGATTCTGAAGGATTCAGGAAGGTTTCAAGCAGGAATGCTGAGGGACTTTAATTATGCCCAGTCCTTGCATGCATGTGGTACAAGTTTGGTACAAAGCATTTCAAGACATCGAAGTACAGACTGTGGTTTGCATTCCATCTTTTGTTCATTTCATTTTCAGTTTTTCTTTCCTTATTTGATTTCAGGGTTTTTTGGTTTTTTTTTAACCCAAGCGGTGTCCACAAAAACAAAAATATTTAAGCACCTTTTTTTGGGGGGGGGCATTGTGTGGTTTTCAATTTGTTGAGCAATTTTGATGTCTGCTTATGCAAGCTCACCGTGATTAGTCACCACAAGCATGCACTGATGTTGGTACTGTCGGGATAAGCTGATATCAGCGTGTTGACATGTCCGCAGCCATTGCAAAATGACAAACTGAGCCCTGCCAGGGATTTCTCCTGCTTTTGAAATCGTTCGGGTATGCATGCACCAAACTTGTGATGTACCTGTATCTGCCTCTCCCACTGATGCTAATAAAGTAGAGGATCTTGGGCAAAACTGGAATTCCATCGGCCCTGTGTGCCTGGCACCCTTGTAAGGACCCTGCTGATTTGCTAAATTACACTTGAGACTCAGCACTACTGTAGGTGCCAAACTTGTGCATACGCTCAGTGGATTTAAGCTTTTCCTCACACACATTTGCCTTTGGGTAATTCCAGAAATTAGTGGTCCAAAAGTTTGACATTTTTGTGTCCCTGTTACGTGTACATCTGACCTTTGCTATTTGACACGGAAATACATGTATCACCGGAATTGATTTCAAACTATTTGTTTGGCAGGTAATTTGCATCAATTCATCTTTCTTTGAAATTAAAAACATCTTCTGAACTTACAAAAGCGTCTGTCAGGTGTGACAGGGACTCGAAAAAAACCGGATCCCTAATTTCTGGTATTACCCATACCGGTATATGAGTACCCCCCCTGAGCACATGTAGATTTTCGAACTGTTATTGAGGATGTTAATGAATTGCTTGGTTAAAACAGCTCTTGCATGGTAAAAGTAGCTTCTTGGTTAAAAAGAGCTCCTGCAGCTCAGGTTTCCAGACAGATTTATCAGGTCATTACAGCACAAAATGGATCATGCCCATTAGAATGGACCTCGCCCATGAAATGGATCATTTCATTTATAATGGGCCTTATGTGGACACAAAATGGCAATTTGTACATCATGCCTCCCCATCTGTTGTAGACTCCTGAATGGCAGGGTGGCCCACATTTTAAAAGCAAATTGGTTTGTAGGCAAGACTGTTTAATGACCTTTGATCCATCATTTGGCATTATTCCACGGAGAATAATGAGGGTGAAGTGTCATTTGGGTCTATGAAATTATGAAAGAAATAGTAAAATTAGAAGAAAATTAACAGTTTCAAGCTGTCTGACTTAGCTGAAGATCAGGTCAGATGCGATCAAATCTGGTGATCTGGTGAGGTTTGTTAGACATCCAGAGATTATTTGGATTACACTCCGTAATATTCGGATAGTTTGGTTATGAAAGTTCCTTGGTTGGGAAATATTCCTTGTGATTTCATCTTTGTGACTATGAACATCCAGAGTAATCCGCCCAACTTTTGTGTACATAAGATAGGGTACTAGGGTACATGTACACCTGTACACCTTGAACTATGTAGGTGATACAAGCAGGGGTGTACATGTATTTGTGAATGCAGATCTGCATGCCCATTGAAAGACTTGTAATGCATGGAACTCAGTAGTTGGCATCTTTCTGGTACGCTGAATAGTATACAAACTTTGTCATGCCACAAATGACAGGTTTTTTTTCCCGAAAGACCAAGGCATTTCCATCAGGGACCTTTCAGATAAGGTACCCTCCAAAATGCAGGAATGCAAAGCGTTCATAACTTTTTTGAATCTGAATAATCCCGTGAAAGCACTTGCGCCTCCTGAATACATGTACATTCTTCTGAAGAAAAAATTCCCAATCTGAATAACGAGCCGCTGGCTGCCTTACGGTACTTGCATTTATGAGTCCAGGCAGTGCATGTGACTGTAAACAGTTGGAATTTTGAGCTGTTTACCACTGAAATGGAACAGTGTGGCAATTCCAAATGTTGGGACAGATTATTTCAAAAGCATGTGATCAACCACCCGTCAATCGAATGAATAGGGATTTTTATCCAGGGTTGCGAGCATGTGTAAATATTGCATTGTATTATCAAAGAAGACATCTGTAAAAGGCACTATTGGGACAAATCAACTCGGTATTACGTTTCTCATTTTGTAATTATGTTTTTGGCAAATTTTTTCTTCTTCTCCCAGAGACCAATCAGATAGAGGACCCTCGCGTGCAATGGCGTCGGGAGAAAGAAATGATGCTGCGTGAGTACCTGACCACGCAGACGGACGAGGAGGACTCACGGGCCAAGCAGGAGATCTGCAATGTCAAGCAACAGCGACTGCAGCTGGCTGAGAACGAGGTGGGTGGTTTTTCCCCTTTTAATAGTCCAGGGGTTCCCAGGGTGATAGTGTGGGGCAGGGAAGTTCTGAAAGAAACAGGGTGGTTTTTTTATTTTCAGTTTCAAGGTCTATTTACGTCAGTGTTGTCGTCGGGTCCATCGCAAGTCCCTGTAAGTCCATCAGAAGTCATTCAGTCTTAAGCCAATTCACAAACTATTCAAATGAGCTGTGACAAAAAGCATTCTTTTGCCATTGTGCTTCTGTTACTTATGACTAGCCTTGTGAAGGGACTTGTGAGGGGACTTGTGAGGGGACTTGTGAGGGGACTTGTGAAAGGACTTGTGAAAGGACTTGTGAAGGGACTTGTGAAGGGACTTGTGAAGGGACTTGTGAGGGGACTTGTGAAGGGACTTGTGCCTGGACTTGTGAATGGACTTATGAAGGGACTTGTGAGGGGACTTGTGAAAGGACTTGTGAAGGGACTTGTTAGGGGACTTGTGAGGGGACTTGTGAAGGGACTAGAATACAACACTGACTCACATGTGTCGTGGAATGTTATTTAAAAACAAGAAAAAGACAAAAGTTGTGGGACTTGGTAAGCACCAGTGCTTGTTGCATTTCTACCCTTTGTTGAATTTGTAATTTGCTGTCAGAAATGTGATTTGTTAAATATCCAGTGAGCATTCGCAAAATAGGATTCACACAAACAGTTTTTATAGTGTTGAACTGGGTGTTGATGAACTAGATTCCTGGTTTGCACAATGGACTTGTGGGAAAAGTCCTGTTTTTTTTTTTTACAGAAGGTGCAAGAAACCCACTGCCTGTAGTTGTGTATAGAGAGAGAAGCAGACTTTGGAACCAAAATGGCTGCTCATTATGGATGCAGTACAGCATGCAGCTGTCCCGTGCTAATTAGCCACATGCAGGGGCTCAAAATGCACCATTTTGGTGCCAACAACTGAGACACTCATGTCGCCATTCTCTCTTTAGAAACAGCTCTGCCAGTGGTCACTGGCGGTACCCTTTGATCCTGTTTCACCTGTTCATAAATATTTCATTTCATGTCATTTTTTTTTTTACATTTTTCATTTTTAGGATACACTTACAAAGATATTCAATACACAAAGATGCATTTAAACATCTGAAATAAAACCTAACCATAATAAAACATAGTTAACCAGCTCCCACTGATTTTGCCCAAAAGAAAGATTTTCTGTTGAGGGGCTTTCCAACTGGTTAAATAAGAATTTCAAAATAGAAAAAATTATCCCCAAAAAATTATACGTAAATGCAAAAAGTTAAAGAAATAAAAACTGTATTAATGTCGCGTAACATAATAAGAAACAACATTTGAATATAAACTGAGTTGAGTGCACATACGAAATTAACTGGTTCTGGCAACCATCAAATAATACTGTGCTTCACAGTTGAACCCAATGATATCCAACAGTGGCCACTTTCTCCGGGATTCGGTTGATGTGAGCAGTGAACAAAATGTCCCTTTTGTTCAAGCCGTTGGAGTGCGTCGGTTCAGCGGGCCTCGCACTTTTCTGGTTTTTTTTTTTTTATTCTGTCTGGTTCTGCCGTATTGCCTACAAAAAACGTGAAGGGGGATGAGGGTGGAGCTGTTTTTCTACCCTCAATCTACTTTTTCCTTGTGGAGTTGTCCATTGTTAAGTTTTGTTCTTACTCTTTGTCTTTCTCTCGGCTCCAGTCCATTAGGAAAAACAAAATGCTTCCTGTTTCCCTACCCACGCTACAGTTATGGTCTGACCCTAAAGTTAATTATGGAAGCTTTTGTGGCAATGTGAAATTGGAAAGAAAGATAAAATATGTCTCTTTTAGCTTGAATGTGATGCAAACTGACTTACCTATGCATGCAACTAGTATCCTTGAAGGTGTTACTACTATTTCATTTGAAACCAGTGCCATCCAACCTCTCTTACTGCTTGTATCCGCTCCGAGCGGAACAAAAGAGGGCGTGTTTTTTGGTTCTCATCGCAGAGGTGTGCATTTATAATAGAGCTCAATGGCGCGTTTTGACGTGGAGCACGCTGAATACCCGTAACGAATATATTCCTTAATGTATGGTCTCTGCGTACACACTGAACGCGTGCAAGAACCTGCTTGGAAAACTGACTACCATCTGTCTTTCTTTTGCCTCTTGAGGGTACACTTCAACTTGGGGCAGATTGCTGCTCTCTTACTCAGTTACTCACTGAAGCAGTATTCAAAAAAAGTGCCAACACAGATTTTTTTTTCTACCTACCCATCCTGTTTTCAGATGCCATGTAATGGGAAGCAGAACTATGCTTTCTCTTGGGGGTGGGCTTTTGTTCCACAGAAAAGAACATACATGTAATCTAACAAGCGTATTCTGTAAATTGTGACAGATGGGTTTGTAATGAGTGAGCATTCGGGGAAAGAAAGAGATGACCAGGTGCTGCACTCATGGTTGCACCTGTTATGATGAAGTCTCTTCTGTTCGTGTAGCTGTCAAAATAAGTGGCACTTTCTGGAACAGGTCCGGTGGGAAAAGGCGCTGAATGGAAAATCCATGTCACTGACGATGTTACAAAGAAAAAATGCACATTTAAGAAACACTATGGTGAAGAGGTATGCGAATGTGATATTTGAATAGCAAACATTTGCCTCTTGCTGTCACAGACACACACCTTTTGGCGTGTTGGGGTTTCTTGTTCTGTATTGGCTGTCCCTAGCATGAAACAAGTACTCTACTGTTGTCTTGGAAACCTCCAACTTGCTATCAGTGAGAGACATCCTTTTAAACTGTGGCCTCTGCTGTAAAGTATTTGGAAACCAGACACGCAGTCCGATGCTTAACATGGCCTTTCATTGCAGAACAGCCTAACTTGAAGAACTCCCTTTTTGGAGAAAACAAGTTTTGAAGTGTTTGCTTCTGAGTCTAAGCATACGATTGGCACGGGAAGAAAAAAAATGCACAGCCTTGGACAGGGGGAGCCAACATTCAGGAGGCAATGTACTTGAAACTTAAGAGTTTTAATCAAGAAATCACGATACTCCAAAAAAGAACCGTCACCTAAATACAAATTCCCACTTTTTTCACAATAGTTTGCCTTCTTCAACTTTAATACAGACGGCACACCCACACACACAAAGTGGCTATCGTCCACAGGGCAGGGCACTGTTTGTGTTCACGGCCATGCTCATAAAAAAATTGGGGGGGGGGGATTTGAAACAGGTTGACATTTCACTCTGTTTGCTTGTAGGTTCAACATTTGAATGATGCACTCAGCGGCTGGCAGTCCAAAACAAGCCGTAAGTACAGCAGCCTTTGTCAGCTGATCCAGCACCGTTCGGTATCCAACGTTTTTTTGTTTTCTTGTTTGAATGCGGAATCGATGAGTCATGTTCAAAGTATGCTTGGTGTGCGAAAACAATCTGCAATTCACAGAGCCGCTGAGAAGCAGAAAATTATGGCTCATTGTGTTGTTATACTGAGCAGAAATCAGCTTCAAGTCTCACCAGTAAAAAAAAATGGTAACCATGAAAGTCTGGGCCCAGGTTTGTAGCGCTGCCAAACACACGGCTTTACACTTACAGAGGGCTTTGCACTTACAGAGGGCTTTGCATGTTTCATGGAGACCGTTGTCAGTGAGCTCAGCTAGAAGAAGCAGACTCACCTCAGAGGAAAAAGTTGCTGAGCATAGTGATGTAACAGTGGAAATCTCCATACCAGAACACATGCAGTTGCCCGCACAATCACGCCATGAACTTTTACTTAAGCTTAGCAAATCTTTCTACTTTTTGTAAGCACAAGTTTTCTGCTAACTGCTAAGCAGTGTCATGAAATTGGTCCCTGGCTAGTGACCCTTTCAAAGCAAATGCATTGGGTGTTATGATGCAAACTTTTGTGCTAGGTGCTGTGAAAGTGGCCCCCAGTTACCTCAGGTGCATGAGCGACACGGGAAGTGTGCTTACACACCGTACTTCAACCCCTGAGTTCCTAAGAAGTATTGCAACTTGATTCTAGCACTCGAGAGAAGATCAAAGCGTATTCCTTGAAATGTTGTCATGGCAATGCCATCTTCTTCTGATAGCCGCATTTTTATCGAGTTTGCCTGGTTTTTTGCAGAGTAAGAACGAGTATACATACATTAGTTACTGCACCATTTGTTTCTTGTCACTGTTTAATTGAAAGTGTGAAACTGGTAGTTGGCAGCAGTATTTTGGTACTATTTACAAGGTACCACTGCATAATGTTTCCTTATTTGGGACATACTTATGCGATAGTCTACTCCACCTCAAAATTGACATTTATGTCTTTTGGGTTCAGTAAATTCCAACAGTTCCACTGGCAGCACCCGCTATGACCCCGACCAACTGAAGGTGGAGGTGGCCAGTGCCAAGGCCAGGGTGGCTCAGATCCGGAATGAGCTGGAACACATGAAGGCGCAGGTCTACCTGCCAAGCCAGGAGTACAGGTAAATGGCACAAGGCCTCAGAAGTCCTTCTAGGCCATCACAAGCGTACAAAGATCCTAAAAGTTCTCACAAAACCCATAGGTCCCCACAAGTCAATACAAGCTTCGAGATTCCTTACAAGTCCCTGTTGGTCCAGTTCAGTTCATTTAAGTCCTCCCAAGTCTTGAAGTACCCATAAGTCCTCACAAGGCCCCAAAGTCCTCAAATGACTGTCACAAGTCATCCAGTCTCAATTCAAGTCAGTAGTTAATCTGATCTTTTAATCAGCTTTTTGTACACAGTAAAGTCTGAGAGAGAAAAAAAGCTTGTTCAGGTGGAATGTGAACCCACAACACCTGATTGGGGGGATGTCTCGGGTACTCAACCATCAGCAAGTATTGGCTGGAGTGACCCTATCTGAAGATGGAATTGGGGTTTTTGTTTTGCTTGTATTTTTTTCCTGCAACCTGCATTTTGTTTGTATTAAAAGTTCTGTCCATTGGAGAAAAAAAATAATTCAAAGGGGAAAATGTGTATCGCATAATTAATGGCCAACCCCCAAAAGAGTGTTCGTGTAATTTTTATTTTGTTTTGACCCTGCCTCATTTTTTTTTTTGCTTTGTAGAGGAAATGAAAAGGCTTGCAGCAGCCCAGAGATTCGCTTCCATTCCGAGGATGGGGGACAGTACACTGAGGTACGGTACCCTTGCACTCAACACTAACCCTGCTACCGGTAGATTCGTTGTAGGTTATTGACAGTTGGCAGAGTATGCACTGGGTACGTGTGTAAACTGCACAGCCCCAGGGCTAGTACAACAGAATCTGGCATTGCATTTGATTGCAGTTTTGTTGCACTCAAGTTTTTGTTGTCATTTTAGAAGTGTTGGATTTTTGTTGCACATCAACAAGCAAGGCGCCCAGCCAAAACCTAGGGTTAGGGTCGTGGTGTATCATACAGTTACTTTATAAATTATATAACCGTGTCTTTGTTGCTTTGAATTCCTTTGATCACTTAAAATTCAGTATTTTTTTTAACAGCATTAATTTCACTTGCGTGGTTTTGTTCCTGTTTGGTTGTCTAAGAGTTTTCCTCGGATATCTTGTACCTTTTATTTTTATCCCTAATTGTTTGAATCCAGTGTTTCACCATATGGGTTTCAGAACGGATCTGATCCTTGTTTCTTGTCTAATCACCAGACTCCTTCCCATGTCCCGACTGTGATCTACCAGCAGCACCGGCTCAACACCACGCTGCAGAGTGACCTGCCTGGCCACTTCCATTACATGGGCGGGGGGAGGCTGGCCGAGAAGGAGCGGATAAGGATGAAATACGAAGATGCCCAAAGGAGGTAGAATTTTCTGCTCTGTTCGCATGCCTCGTGTTCCTTGTTAATGCTTTGAGAGTTGATTTTTGATGTCCAATTTAGTTTAATTTATGCCTTGAATTTTGTTGGTCATCAAGCAGCATCTGTTTGTGTTCTGTGTTGCATTAGCAATTTGCCTTGATTTAAGCTTACATGATAACAGAGCATTTTATTATCTACTTGGTTTGGAAACTTATGGAAAAAATGAACATTGAAGTCTTGAACTGAGACTTGATTGTGGATTTCAAGGGAAATTTCTTCATGCCGTACTGGTCTTAAACTGAGACTTGATTGTGGATTTCAAGGGAAATTTCTTCATGCCGTACTGGTCTTGAACTGAGACTCGATTGTGGATTTCAAGGGAAATTTCTTCCTGCCGTACTGGTCTTAAACTGAGACTCGATTGCGGATTTCAAGGGAAATTTCTTCATGCTGTACTGGTCTTGAACTGAGACTTGATTGTAGGTTTCAAGGGAAATTTCTTCATGCCGTACTGGTCTTGAACTGAGACTCGATTGCGGATTTCAAGGGAAAATTCTTCATGCCGTACTGGTCTTGAACTGAGACTTGATTGTGGATTTCAAGGGAAATTTCTTCATGCCGTACTGGTCTTGAACTGAGACTTGATTGTGGATTTCAAGGGAAATTTCTTCATGCCGTACTGGTCTTGAACTGAGACTTGATTGTGGATTTCAAGGGAAATTTCTTCCTGCTGTACTGGTCTTATTCTTGGGCTGCATAAGAATCAACCGGCTAGGGCAAGAAACAAGTTTAAACCTTAAGCTAAAGTTTTTTGAAAAGGCAGAGTTTTAAGGAAAAGGTCCAGGATAATTTCAACGCTGCCTTTGGATTCGGGTTGCCATTTCTGTGGCTACATTTCCTTCTACTGACACATATGACTGTCTAATCTCAGGCCTGAGTTTGAAGTTTTTGGTTTGGCTTCAACTCTGAATGCCTTCAACCAGGCTCCTGCGCCTGCCTAGAAAACACCCAAAGTCCGGTTGTTCAAAGAGAAGTTGGTCATGCGTGCTTAGTTGCGTTTCGCACCAAAGGTGCGCAAGCCTGTGCATGCATGACGACCTTTGCTATGTAAAAACACACCCCCTCTTGTTTCCACTCGGAGTGGATTTGCCTGGACCAGCACTTGGGCATGGATAGCTTCTCAGTATTGTATTACATAGTCTGCTCATCTTATATTCCAGTCTGATTGGTTTGTTTGCAGGATGTGTCTATTGCAGATCCAGATAGCGGAGCTGGACGACCAGAATCCTTCCGGCCAGAACGAGGCTGAAAAGGACAGGCTGCTGCTTATATCGGTAGGAAAAACCAGATTATAGCCAAAAACCAACTCCAAGTCCAGAAACCTAAAATGAAATGAATAAATCCTCCCCCAAAAAACCAAACATTGAAATGTCTCCCCCCCAAAAAAAGAAATGAAACTAAAAACGAAACAACAGAAAACAAAAACTGTTTAGCCCGGTTCTTTTGCCGAATGGTACCCAGTGAACTTCCAGTGGCACTATTGTTTTTTTGTTGATGCTGAGGTTGTACTTGTCTGCAGTGTCAACAATCTCTTATTTCCTTTGGGCCTCAGGAGAAGGAGGAGCTGTTGCGGGAGCTGAGGAGCGCCTACCAGCACAAACGCAGCCCCGAGGAGAGGCGACAGATAGAGGCTGAGAAACAAGCCCTGATCCAACAGATCACCGAGTCCAAAGAGGAGGTCACAAGGGTGCTACATAACAGGTGAGTGTTGTAGCATCCCCCTGCCCCCATCCTGACTGCACTTGCTTCCATCTCCCCACCGACAGACTAAAACGCTGACCAGAAGTACAAGCCATTACTGCAGTGGTGCCACACCTGCTCCGCACCTGCGTGCGAGTCTTACCTGTGCGGTATGTGCCTGTTTGCGTGATAGAATGTCGCGGCTTTCCAATATGCACGCGCTACTCACAGGGTTCCCAAGGTCATGGGAAAATCCTGGGAAAAAAGTTGTCCCGGGAAGTCATGGAAAATGGGAAGACAAATAGGACGTCATGGAATCCTGTTGTTGAAGGAAGAAAAGTCACGGAAATCTAGATCACGCAAGGTTTATTTTTGATGCGCCATAGGCCACTGTTGATGTGATCACAGAATAGTGATAAATTTACCGGCAATCCCTGTTGGTCTATAGCAGTGGCTGTGGCAGTCTTCCAGTTCCTAATAGCAAACCACATTTCTCTGCAAAATAGCAGTAAATGTCATGGAAATTGTCACATTTTAGCCCTAGAAAGTCCTTGGAAAAGTCGAGGAATGTGCTTTCCAGATTCCTGTGGATACACAGAGTTCACTGCTCAAATTCATTTTTCCTCCTTTTTTTGCCTTTTTTTTTTCTTCTTCAGAATAAAACTGCAAGAGAAGAAAGACCAGCTGAACCAGCAGCTAGCTGAGGTCACCCGGGAAGCTATGCAACTAGAATCCCAGCTGAAAAGGTAGGCCCAACCAGTAAAGGGAAGTCTTTGTCCATACAACAGTGTGGTTTCCCTGACCGTACCCGCCTGGTGCCAGGACAGACACTGTACATTTTCTTATCCATAGAAGGAATCAACGGATCTCATAAGAAATACGCCCTCATTGGAAAAGAAGAGATTGAGACGGGAACTATTTCAAATCGGCACGTGACGCACATCTGAATCGATTGGTTGTGCATGTTCAGGGTGGGATTTCAAGCTTTTCATGGTGACAGACAACTAAGGTGGAAAGATAGCAGTAGCACCATGCAAGGATACGATCTCTTTTGTGAGTCTGTATGGTTCTGAAAAGAACCGTGAGGAACTCAGAGCCATACAGACTCACAAAGAGATCGTATCCTTGCATGGTGCTACCGCAAGCTTTCCACCTTACATGTTCAGGGTGTCCCGCACCAAACGTGCAGCAACCTGCATGATCGGACGTGGTGTTTTCCCCTATTGGGACGTCGTTCCTGTCTGAAATTACTTCAGCTCTTGTTCCTCTGGAGGGGTATTTTGCTCATGTCTGATCCTAGCGCTCTTTTGTCAAAATACTTCTATAGTTCCTCTCGCATTGTTTACTCTTCATACGGGCAGCCAAAGCCTGCAGAGATATTGCCCTGGCTTGGAGTCAGATATAACCACAAAACAATGTCCACTTAACCCACGACCTTTGAAGAGGGCCCTTGTTTGTACGCAGTATTCAGTAGTATCATTTATAATTTGGTGTTTCAATTCATCGGAGTCAAATTTGGTAAAGGCTTGTTCTGCGGCTTTTGTAATGTCACTGGCCCCTGTACGCAAGATGCAGCTGTAATTTTAAAAAAAGAGCGGAACACCTGAGACCTGATTTTTACCTGATTTGGCAAGTGCAATTAGAAGACATCTGAGATGGGCTGTGCTTTTTGCATCCTATTGAATACGGATGTTTTGCGGTAGTGCGCCTCCAAGAGTTTGCAGCGCGTTGGCCAATTGCAACACGTGAAATTTGTCCCCCATTTCCATACATGCATTGGGTCGACAGATTTTACGCATTGTGATTGGCCAACGCGCTGCAAACTCGTGGAGGTGTACTATTGTGAAACGCCCGTATTTCTTCAACTCGCTTTTGCCTGAAGTCACTTAAGAGTATGCCCGCAGTAAGGAATGGTTCCGTCAGTATACGTCGGCAAACCCACTGCGTTGTTTTGCCCTCTACAGTGTGTCCGTCAGCACGCTATCGTCGAGCTCAAGTCGGGGATCCCTCAGTGCTTCCAGTCGGGGCTCGTTAGCGTCCAGCAAAGGATCCTTGAACAGCGCCCTCAGCTACCCTGATATCTACGTGCCACCATCGCAGTATTCTATGGATCTTAACATGAAGGACATACAGCAAAAGGTATTATAAAAATTGTTAGGGTATTTTATCATAAATGTATAAGCCCAGTTTGATAGGCCATTGGTAATTCCATGGATGTTTTAAGCCCACATAATTGCTAATCCTCCAAAGCGTTCAAGTTTTTTCTTTGCGTGGTTGCCTACAGAATTAGCACGTATGGTAAAATCTTTCTGGAGTAATCCTCCCTTTCTTAAAAATCTTTGATGATGGTTCCATTTTATGATTCTGATGGGGTTTGAGGGACGGCCAGTTCTCTCTACATCACATTTATCTGCAGAGCCTAATGAAGTAGAGAGAATCTTGTGTACGGTGCTTGTGCACGGACCCAATAGGTTTGTGCACATTCATGTCGGGTGTGATTTGTCTAGACTTTTCTGGATTTCCGGAATTTCTGTGAGACTATCCGGAATTTCTGTGAGACTTTCCGGATTTCCGTATTGTCAATGTTTTCAATATGTAATGCAAAGACTACAATACTTGGTGCGAAACTAAGCGAAAGACTTGCACAAGTTTAGGTGTATAGCATTCGCTTTTGCATTGTTACTCCCCCTGGAAATGTGCCAGATACATAGGTAATGGTACATTGAACGGAGGGGGTATCACTGTTAAAACATAGGGACCCAGGCCAGCGGTATGATCGTTGTGTGTATGTACATGTACTGTATGTACTGTACGTTCGCTGTGTGTATATGCACGGTACACGTGTTGTCATTGCATGCACTGTGTAAAACTTGTGTCCGTCTGCCATTGCGGTTTGTTTCATTCTCGTGGTGGTCTGATGTCGTCGACATCCGTCAAAAATGTCATACAAGGTACATGTAGTAGGTAGGGAAGGGGATATGAATGTAGACAAAGGATTCAAGAATTCTTGGAAATTTTCCTGGCTGGAAACTTAGGTGGACAGAGAATTAACCAGGGGAAATCAATATATTATCGTGACTGTCTTGTGAAAATCAACAAACCTAGGTACTGCAAGTGCACGTGGTGTCACAAGTAATGCAGTACTCATCTGCATGAGACAGTTTTCAGTTTTAATAAATTGTGATAGAATTTTGTGGATCACTGATAACTGCATGTGTGTGTATTACACTTCTAGGTCTTTGATTGTCAGCAATTATAGCTTACATGTATAATTGCAATTGAAGTGAATAAGGACAAGGGTTTTGTTGCAGTAAATGTTATAATTGTATCCCTCAAAGTAAGAACAGCTCTTGTGGTGGCTTACATGTAGTTCCTGAATCTCCTCCTATCATCAAATAGATATGTAGCAAATTGTAGGGAAGCTGTGACCGACGCGACTTGCAAAACCCTCCAACGAAAGTTTCGTGGATTTTTCATTTTCCCCAAATCACACCCCTGTCATGTGAAAAGTAAGGTCACGTACCTGTGTGCACATGTGGTATGTCAGACCTGTGGCTCTTAGTTGCTGGGTACTGGATAACCTCTCTCAATTGTGCATACCATTCAGACCTTTTCAGTTGGAGGGTTTGAGGGATGAAATGGTTTCATTGAGAGAAGGGCTCAGTTTTGGAGCGTTGAGTGTAAGAATGCGTAGTTGACTAGTCTGTGTGACTTCACTCCATGTTTGCAGGTGGACGCCTTGTTCCATGAAAGCATGGAGGGTCCGGGCTCCTTGGCTTCCAGCTCTCCCCACCACGTCCATCCCACTCCTGCCACTGTCATGCCAGTGCCCGGCGCGGCCGACCCCAACCACAAGTCCATGACCTCGCTTTCCTCCCGCTCTTCCCTCTCCTCCATGTCTCCACCCTCCTCACCGGGCCACGCCCACCTGAACGGCGACGTGGTGGTGATGGCGACGCGCTATGATGGCCTGCCTCCCGCCTACCTGGATCACCTGAGCAGTGTCCAGCAGCGGCAGAAGCAGAATATTGCTGGGTACCTGCGCACCCAGGGCCTGGAGGAAGAGCAGCTGGTGTGCTCGCTGTCGCAGCTGGCACTGAATGGTGGTGCCGACCCTTCGCTCCTGCAGGTGGCCCAGTCGCTGCATGGGCCAGGGCCCGAGGGCGGAGTAATTGGCGGAGGAACCGGCATTGCAGTGGGCGGGCGGGGGCTGTCACGGCTCAACATGGACCCTAAGATTCCAGTCTCCGAGTACAACATGGAAATGCTTGGAAACACACCTCTGAGTCCAATCAGCGAAGGCATTGCTGGTCAGTCAGTCTTTATTTAATATGAGTGCTCACATCATTGTAATAGTTAACTCGAGACATTTATGTGAGTAGTCCTTGTACTGCAGTATCTCCAGGTCTGTACTTGTATTATTGTATTTGGTTTGAGATCAGGTGGCCAAGAATAATTGAGAAACAGAAATCTAGTGGTGAGATCAAGATGAAGGGATCAACTTTGTTTGGTTTGGTAAAGATGAGTTGCTCAGTTGGTACTCAAGTTTTGTCTCGGATATTGATTAATCAATTAATTACTGTTTGATTTCATCATCATCTTTTGATTATTACAATCAGGTGTCAATCTGCAACGTCTTCAGGGTCAGTCCACAGTAGCAGCTAGAAGCGTATCCGCAGCAGTGTCTGATGAATCCGTGGCAGGAGACAGTGGAGTGTACGAAGCATCACATAAAAGGTACTCGTCGATGTTGATCTAAGCTCCTGTAGGTTGACTCAGTAGAAGTGATTCATGGCACAGTGTACTGCCAAACTGTATGCTTCAAAATGGCTACTGTTAAACATCACTGGCATCTTTCATATTTATAAACTTTGGAATCCTCCGTGGGTATTTTGGTCAGAATCCCTGCCAGACGTATCTGCGTGCATCATCTGTCAAAACTCCAATAGGTTAGCTTTCCCCAAGGCCAAAATCCCTCGAATTCTGCAACTCCTGGCCTCCAGAGGATCCTACTTTGGCATTGCGCAGTGAGACTAGTTTTCATTGCCTCGGTGTGAGCCTTTTACTGTGCTACCGTTGATCACCTGGCATGACAAAGTGCACCAGACTCTCACACCTCTTGCACTGTACTGTGTCTGACAGGGTTAGGACTGAGGAATAAATGGCTAAAAATAACAGTCGGGCTAGTCGATTATCTCCGGCACTGATGTCCAGCAGAAATATGTCGGGTTAATTGACTTTGTTCCGGTTGGACAATCCTGACAATCTCTACTTCCCTGGTCGACCTCCTTCCTCTCAGGTCGGTGGAGTCAGACTGTGACACCTTCCTGAGCGGCATCTCCACTCTCAACTGTGGCCAGATCCTGCTGACTCTTCAGTACCTGTCAAGTGAGGGCGTGCTGGTGGTTGCCCTGGAGCAGCTGCGACACATCCGGGAGATGCTGCCCACCGATTGCACCAAATTGTGAGTACCAGTTGCGCTTTCAAAATGCAAAGAAGTACCTCGTGATTTCAAAACCTTCCTGTCTGCATTCTTTTTCTTCACATACATTTGACATGATGTCTGGGAAAGTTTTCAAACAGCTTTCATCCTGATTGATGATTCATTCATTTTTATTATTTAAACAAAAGAGAAGTTTTTTCAGCAGATATTAGATTCTCTTTAAAACATATTTTTACTTCTTAAAAAAATGGTTTTAAATATGAGGACGGAAGAAATAAAAACCCAGAGTGTTCTAGGGTTGGGACTGAAAACCCGATTTACACGCTGGTCTCAGCAGGATTCGAACCCAGGCCATAGAGGTCACATGCAAACCTGTACAAGTCAAGACTGACCCTTACTTGAACTTGAAAATTAACGCGGATCGTCAAGTAAAGAAGAGCCTAGCCACTATTTTGCTTCCACATGCCCCTCAAACTCGAGTAATGTACCATTGGTTAACTGCACTGTGAAGGATTTTAAGGGACTCTGAATATTTTCTTGGAAGATTACATTTGGAGATGGAGTTACTCTGTGAGATCAGCAGTCCCAAAATCATGTAGTATTATTACGTCATTGCACATGAAGTTTAGAGTGGAAAGACTTGATTTATTCAATGCAGCTACATCAAAGGAGACATCCTGCCCTGCCCACCCAATGCCAACCTGAGCTTCAAGACGGACGACATTGAGGACACGAGCATCAGGGTACTAGGCCAGACTGTTAGCTTGCCCATCATGGAGAATAAGATTGGCACCAAGACGCTGCAGCTGTTTGTCTGGAGCGTGGGCGACATGCAGCGGGAAGAGTGCGTGGTAAGTAGCACTGGAGTCGAGTTGGAGTCAAGCGGAGCTGTGCGTAATATTACTGAACAGTCCTTCAGGGCCAGAATTAACAGAAACGGAATCCCCACTGCAAAACTCTAGTGGCTGTTGAATGATTGGGGAGGGTTAGTTAGAATTGCAATCATCTGGTCTGCTCAATGTGACCTTCTGCATGAAATTGACGAATCATTTCTCTTACCACCCCAAGGGAGGAACCAGGATAAGCCTGGCTGACCTGAACCTGCGCCACTCGGCCAAGTCCCAGTGGCACAACATTGTCAACTTCAAGATCCTCCAGATGGAAACCCAACGCTACGCCGCTGCCAGTACACCCTCCGAACCCAGTCACCAGGTATGTGGTACCCTTCGATAGCCCCTGACTAAATACTCCTTCTCTCTTCAAGCCCTACCCAGCCACGCCCAATTTGTAACGTGCTCGGTGCCACACTGCTGGCAGTATACCCTTGGACTCCGTCCACAAGGTATTTGACACGCCTCAACAGCTCCCCTGACTGAATAGTAATCCATTCTCCGTTGAAGCCACACCCACTTGGAACATCGCTACACTACTGGCATTGTACCCTCGGAACCCAGCCGCCCGGTGGGTTTTTTCCCCTCGCCAACTCCACAGCATCCACACCCACCGAACGCATCTGCCAGATACATCCTATGTCATTTGTCGACACTCTAACCAGACATCTGTGCATCACCCGAGCCACACCTAGCCACACCCACTGCGAATTTTCCCCAGTGCTAAGTTGCCACCAATGCAAGATCTAGCTGTGTATCAGTGCTCCATAAGGTTTTTATTATGTTGTTTTTTTGCTTATCATTGTCTTATTGGTACCAAATCTGCCAAACTGCGTATTATATCATTGGTGTCAGCAGTCAGGGGAGCTATTCGCATCCCGAGCACGGCGAGCATCAGTTGGTGACCAGCCCTCCACCGAAAACAATCCCCCACCACCGGCACCCGACAGCACCTCCAGCACGACAGACACGAGGTAGGCGCCAGTTGATATTTATTTTGTTTACCTCTGCATGGCACTACCACATTGACAGAAGTGAAAGAGTAAACCAGAGCATTGTTGGAATTTCAAATTTAAGCATATTGACAGAGGTCCAACTTGTTAAACATGTCATGTATTTGAGACTGGCCAACCAGGTCAGTCTGTTATCATCAGCCATGCTCAGTGTCGCAAAGTCTGGACTGAAATGATTTTGGATTATCTTTGACACAAGTTCAGCCATGAACATTTGCAAGGTAAACGACTGAGGACACTCTGCGTTTGTACAGACTGCAGTGTCAAATCATTTTCATCTGAATGTACACAAAAATGGACACCATTGCATGGTAGCAAAAGCACTCAACCATATGCCACTGAGGAGTATTTTGTGCAAGTTTAAGCTATAAAAAGATCCATGGGGTGAATATTTCTTAGACTCTTCTCTAGTGCACTTTATACTCTTCTTCAATGTGTGAAAACTGTTGAATTCCCTTGATTTTAAGAGTGTCAAATGTGCATTTTTTTTAAAGATTAAAAATTTGCCAAGCTTTGTTGGACAAGTGAGGGCAGTGTTACTGTGATGTAAATCTGGAATTTGCTCTTTGAAAATGTTTCTGAGTAAAGGTTGCTCACTGGCTTGTTGCCGTATACTTACATGACAATAAATTGCCAAAGAAATAGAAATTTTCCACTGCAAAATCCCAAACATTAGAGTATTTTTGGGTTTTTTGGGAGGGGGATCAATTCAACATGGAGGTTCAGTGTTTAAGATGATGTCACAGGTTTGCTCATGAATATAGAAATAAAGGACACCAAACTACATAATAAAATGACAAAACAAAAATTGAAAATAAGACGAATTTAAACACAAAGGTGCAATTTCAAAGGTGGTTGTAAATCAATTGTATTATATTTTCCGTTTAAGTATGTGACAATAATAATCATTTCTACTTGTGGCTGTTCAGTAACCTTGGATTATCCCACAAGGACCGTTGGTATTTGAAATGATGAATTAATTTTATTCTGGCAGATTTCGATCCTCTTCATTTGACAACTCATTCATCAACCGGCATCGCAACCTGACCACCATCGCTGTTAGCATCAACGATGACCGGTCCAGCCACACCCACTCCTCCTCCTTCCCCAACTCGGCCGCCCAGCCCCAGCCTTCCCGGGGCACCCTCCCCACCCTCAGCTCCGCCCAGTTCCCGGCCGACCGGGAAGCCCGGCTGGAGATGCTGCGGAGCAGTCTGCGGGGGGCGGAGCCCCGGCTCACTGTCCCCCATGGGAGGGCTCCCTCGCTGTCCCGGTCCAAGACGTTCAACGCGGGCCAGCCGCCACAAAAACAGTACATATGCAAAGTGAGTCACCTATGCCAACATCCATTTTGACGGTGGAAAAATTCTAAAAATCCATCTCATACTTCAGAGTATAGTTTGCTTTTTGCTTGGCTGGATCCAGTCCACGGTGAAACCGGAGCCAAATTCATGGTGTAGCTAAACTCGCGTAAATATCTCTGTCGACAAACTTTTCATCTTTTGTAAAGATTGTAGAACAACAGTAAGTTCTCCAGAGAGCAAGCTCACTTCAGAGGGAACAAACTTGGGGATACAACCACAAGTCTCAATCTCAATCCTCTCAATGATAGAGCTTAAAAATCAACAGATTTCCTGCTGAGGGTGGATTTTTTGGCCAGTTGTCAAGTAGTACTGTGAAGCTGGCCTCCCATCATGGCTCAATTTCTTGGTCTTCTTGTGATCTGTTGGATTCTTGTCTGTTTGATCGGTTGAATTGGATTTGTCTTTTCGTTTTTTGCAGCTTAATCGTAGCGATAGTGATAGTGCCATGGCCCTTCAGAGGAGGGCTCCGTTCTTGAGGAACTCACTTGAGAGAAGAAGTCTCAGATGGAAACAGGTAGGATGCTTGTGGTAATCTAAAATAATGAAAAAAAATTGATCTCGGAATGCTCAACCAGCCTATTGAGAATTTTGTTTTGATGACCTGTGCTGCATATTGAATCCCAAGATCCCATTGACAAACAGGCCTTGAATCTGTGACTTCTTGTGTGTGCTTGTTGGAGACGGGATTGTCCAGTGCCTTTGTGTAGCTGGAGAGTTGAAGTCTAGTCCATCACGAGTCAGTTCACATGGAGAAAAGGGATGATCATGCCCCCTAACTTCAGTTGCCTCTGGTCCTTTTACATTGCAATTGGCTCTGCGTTTTTTCCACCTCGCACTCAGCAAAGGTCTTTGAGATTTTGCAACAAGTTGTGTGTATCTTCTTGTGTTTGATTCTTTTCACATGGTTATGTTTCCTCTATTCGCCTCTCCCTTGCAGCCAACCAGTCTGTCCAGCAAGCGGTCATTCCACCAGAGGTCACCCAGCGACCTGGAGGTCAGTCTGCAGGTGTCTAAAGAGCGACAGGCCCAGATACGGGAGGAGATCGAGAGGTTGAAGGAGATCAAGCGGTGTGTGGAGCAGGCCAGTGCTAGAGGTAAAGATTTTCAACAGAGTGTGCACAAATGAAATCTCTAAACGGCTTTCTGTCAACCGCTTACTGACTAGAGTGACGTGATACATTTGCAAAGCTCAAAAGGTCAGAGGGCCTGATGTTTAGAGAACCCAGCAGAATCTTTCTCCAAGGTCAAAAAAACGTACCATGATTTACTGGCCCTTTTTTTTTGTTTTTGTTTGGTTTTTGTCATGTAACAAGTTTTCAGAGGTTCAATCACAAGTTTACAAACCGTGAAATCTGTGCGCACAGGTCTTCATCGTACAATAGTTGTCAAGGCTGAGGGGAAAATGATTTCGTGCGAGCTGACATTGCATTTTTTATTTTTTTTTTTTAAGATGAAGACAGTCCTCTGCATTCCTCCTCCAACAATGGCGACATCCTGCGGAGACTCATCGAAATTGCCGAGAAAGGCGCACACGGCCAGCAACGCAACGCCACACAGCCAGTGACCTCCCAAACATCTAGTCCCGTACAAAGATCGGCAACATTCAGCTAAACAGCCAGAATTGTTGTGTAATTCAACCAGTAAGCATTTTAAAATGATAATATTTATATATGTATGAAAGCATTTTTTTCTATTTCCAGAATGTCAATTTTTCTTGTAGTTCACAGTCACATATATCCAAAGCGCTCGACGTTTTTCCTCGTGTAACTTTCAAAAAATAACAATTTCAGATGATTTGTAGATGTACCTATTTTCAGTGTTGAATATTCATTCGTGCATATTGTATTTTAACGATGTGAAATGACCAAGGGGTTGTTTACTTAAGGACATTTTATGCAGATTTTTTATGGAAGCCGATAATGCTACAGACGTGGCCTAACAATATGTCTTTCTTATCATCTGACCCCTCTTCTCGGCCAGATTGTATGCAGCTCTTTATGCATAAAAACTTGCAAGAATAAAACGTGCTCTGCCAGAGAAAAAAAACATCGGCTATATTTACATAATCAAAGATGAATCGATTTGCCGATATAATCGGTGAATTGTTTGAGAAGGCCGTATGTGGTGCTGTTGTTTTCACCCTGTGTCTGCATTGTTTTAGTTGTTCCTGACTCTCCACAATATGTGCTATGTATCTGACCCCCCCCCCCAAGTTGGTTTACATCATACTGTCAAGATGTTTTCTTGCTTGAAAACACCTGATGAAACATCGTGTGGTATTCAGGCTTATTCCGTCATCTTTACTAGCTGCAGTGCAACAAATGGCCCACTGAAAAACCAAATGTGGTTCACTATGCAAATATTTGAGTGCCTCTGTGTTCTGCGCATGTGGAAGGGAAATTTAAAAAAAAACAGGTTTTTCCGTGATCCTCAAACTGAAAGCCCATAAGAATTTCACTCATTGCCAATGCGCACATGTGTATGTAGTCCTTATTTCTGATGCTGAAAAGAAGCATTCGAGTCAAGGGTCAACTATAGAGTACCGAAGTGTGGCGGTTCACATGCTGGTTCTCGTGTTTATCGTCTTTCGCATACACGTAATTGTGCGCATGACATGTTCACTCCGGTACCCTGTTGCCGCTGTATATCCCCAGTGGTTCCGCTGTTTGGAGTAAGGAATTCTGACCTCAGTTTGAGCAGCACTTGCAATTGGTGTTGGCCATTCTATCCTCAAAGTTGGCATATGCTGTTGCCTATGGGCCTCGAGCTGGACCAAGAGAGGGTGCTATTTTCTCAGCAAGGGAGAGCTCATTTGGTCAGAACTGAACTTCGCTGGTTCACGAACGACTAGGAAATGCACGTGTCACAGATGCATTGTGACCAACAAAATGGACGCTCCCGACCAGCGCGGCTCTTTTCAACCACTGAGGAGGCAATTCTGTGGGAGGCGGATTGTGTGAAAAACAATTACAAGATTTGCAAATCCTATATTTTAACATTGCCAGTTTGCAGTTCTTTTAATTAATGAAGCGTCTTTGCTTCTGAGTGACACCGGCATTGTCAGTGCTAATGTTCTCTGAAAATTTGGAGGTTTTTTCAAACTGAGGAATTACAATGTATCACCCAGTCTTCTTGTCCATCAAGCCCAGATTATCAGGCCAGTCACTAAATACATGGTGTGCCCTATTGAATTTGCCTGAGAAATCCCAGAAACTGTTTTGTTTCAAACTTGGTTTGGATGGTTATACACATTGTTGAATTCAGGTTGTGTCATCTTTGGTCCAATTTAAGTCAGAATGACATGTTAATTTCTGTTTCTTTTCTTTTGTTTTCTTGTTTGATCACACTTTGCTTGGTTTTATGTATTGTGATTTGACAAGTTCATGAGTGGAAAGTTTGTGGGAAAAAAAACTTTCCCTTCAGCGCTTCATTCAATTTCAACCATTGACAAAATCTTTGGAAAGTCTAATTATTGTTTTTAGTACCAGTATACTTGATGTACTGTTACACATGTATGTACACTAAGGAAACATTGTGTGGCTGCTAGATATAACACTTGTGTAACACCAGAGTCTTTAGTATAGACCCAACTAGGAGGTCATGATGCCTCATGTTCCTGAGCAAGATACTTTATCACAATTGTCCATAAGGAACACACTTTACTGTGATTGTACTTGTGTAAAATACTTCAGTGTTACAGTGTTTGCCATTAGCAAATGGGAGAATAGGTCTGTGTACTGACATCACACTTCATTGATGTGCACTCTCCTATGGGCCAGTTGGGGCCCATTGTCCATAGGAAAGCACACACATAACAAAGTGTGGCATCATCAGTACAGGAGTCTATTGGTAATCACTTGTGGGTTGTGCTTGCTTCTAAGAAATCTTCAGTCATAAGACTGACTCAAGGTATGTTGCTGCCTGTATGCTTGGGTTGATATTCAAAGCTACCTTAGTTGCGAGTAAGTCAGGATTATTTGGGTTTTTTAAAAATGAATTGGCCCTCCAACACTGACTATTGGTTTGTGTCATGTTTATATAGCTTCAAAATGTTTGTTGGAATTATTTTTGTTGTGCTCAAAAACATTCTACACAATGAAACGCAACTTGCTAAGGATTCCACTGAAGAGCATGCATAACTGTATGTAACCTTGTGGTACCTTTTTTCCTGGTTCAAAATTCATTTTGATTGGATGTGATACCTTGCGTCAATCTCTTTCACAAACTTCAATTATGGACTGGGGCGTAACCTCCAAATTGGACAGTGTATTTTCAAAAAAAAATGAACAGAAATGTCGGCATTACTACTCTACAGTTACTTCCCTGGTTTTTACGCTGGTATCTGTTATACTGATAGCTTCAACTTGGGCAGGACTCTCTCAGATCTTGAAGCCAAAGCTCTCCCTTTCAAACTGCCCAATTTATGAAACTTGAAATGTAGTCCTGCCCCTTTAATCATGAACCACCACTTCATGTTAGTTATCGTGACGGAGATAAACTGGTAAGCCCAACATGGGTCTGCTTATGGAAGCCATGTATGTTTCAAAGTAACATGTTACTGATGAAAGGCACTCATTGGTTGATGGACTGATTATGCAAGCTAAGTCGTTAGACCTATCCGCCCCGAGCTGAAGTGCACCCCCAGTCGGTGAAGGAAAGACAGGTGGTTACAAGCAGGTTCTCGCAAACGTTCTGTGTGTACGCGAAGACCCTACATGCCGGAGTAAATTAGTTATGCGTACTCAGTGTGCGCCATGTCAAATGCGCCTATGCAGTGAGTACCAAAAAACGCCCTCTTTTGTTATGCTTGGAGCGGATAGTGGGTATCAAACTTCAACAAACATGGCGTCCTTCCATAGCAACGTGTCATATTAAGTGTTGTATACCAAAAACAATGCTGATTTTCGGTATAGTGTCGAGCACATCGGTAGTCTGAGAATTTCATTGACCATCGGCTTTATTTTTGGTAAATAACACTTATGACAAACTTTTCTATGGGAGGACGCTATGTTTGCTGCTGTTTGATTCCCACTAAAGGTCTATTGCCTTGTATGTTAGCAGTGCATCTTGTGTATACACCTAATGGCGTGTTCATGCATTCGCCACATAGCTGTAGCTGATACATTCTACATGTGATATTGCTTCTTTTTTAAATTAGATTTTGTTTATACATATGTATGTTCCCCAAACATAAGAAATTGTTGAAATTGTTTATGACGAGCAAATTGAACAGTATTATCATAATTCTTAGTATGCTGCTATTTATTGCTCGTCATTTTTGTAAAAGCTTTGTAAAGAGTGATACTTTAATGTGCAAAACGCTATTTTCCAATACACTTACTGGTAGATAGTGTATTATATTGAAAGGCATTTGTTGCTCATGCTATATTTTCTGAATGATAGATTTTATGCTGAATTTGGGATTCAATTCTAAGTTGTCATTTTTTTTTGTTTTAATTGGATATTTTCGGAGCAGTATTGTGGTCTAGTTAAGTAAAGTGTTGGCAAATCATTCACGGAAAATCCACTGGGCTTTAAAGATTATTTCTAAGAAAAAAATAAGCAAAATGGAATATTTAAATGATCTTTCTTGTAACTTCAGATTTATAAGTCAACATGTCATCAATGTTACATGAAGCTATTTTTTTGAGTTAATGTATGAATTAAAACAATGCTATTATTTTATATATATTTACTTTGAGCTGCCTTGGCTTTACTGTTTTTCAAATGCTGTTTACTGATGACATTGGAAACCATTTGGGTCTTGCTTCTTGATCGTATGACACAGTGAACTTGTCCCCCAAACTTTAGGGTCTAGCTTATCGCTCTTCAGACACCTAGCTTGCTCAATTGAAAGTGTAACAAGCATTGTCTTAGGCTTTAACAAAAACAAAAACAAGTTTCAGGACTGGCACGGCAAATATAACTTTTTCTTAAACCCTTTAATACTTTTCATATAAAAAAATACACACAACAATGATGTCAAAACAAGTGTCTTCTGAAGTAGATAATTTTTCTTTGTACTTACTAAACTAAAATTAAACCGTTTTTTTTTTGTTTTCAGGAAGGTTTCACATCACTGACGTTTTGGTGGAGACAAATGATTAAGCTCTATACATCCTCTGCAATGATGCCCTTTAATGAGGATGGTTATCTTTCATGGAATGTACTTTCAGATTTGACACAATCCAATAACTGCTCGAAATAAAATTATGTGTCTGTGAAGATATGAACTACAGGCTGGACACCAGACTGAAGACACATTCTTAACAGGGCTGTTTTCTAAACCGCAAAACAGAAGGCTACATTTCGGGGGGGAAGAGGAAATTTCCAGTTTATGAAGACAAAGTTTCTGATAATGTATGAAATATTTAGGGAAAGTCAAATAATAATTATATTGATAATAGATCAATTTTCAGTAACTTGCATCTCTGTGCTGTTGAATGTTTTTCTTGCTTTTTACATTTTTTACGCCCGAACCATCTTGCGTCCATGCCATGTTTTAAGCACATGTTACAAAGAACACAGGTTTAAGACACAATACAGTTCAACGTGATGTTGTGTTCTCTTCCAGTATAATTTTCATGTGAACTTCAATCTGCCTGGTGCTTGAAGAACTGCTCAGGAAACTTGGACGGCTGCTTGGTAATGTTGGTTGAGCTTTTCACAGCGAATACCAGAAAAGGCCATCGGTGTACATGCACTGGCTTGGGGGCATCATGTGGGTGGTTGGATAGCCTGTGGAGTAGGTGGTGTTGGCCAGCATGGAGGCTGGACTGGCAGCTCGGACAGCTGCGGCCGCTGGATCACTCCAAGCGCCCCCAACCACCGGGGAGGATGGATCCAATGTTCCCACACTGGTAGCATGGCTCTGCCCGTAGGACAACGTCGGCTGCAGCAATGGAGGGTTATTCCATGTGCTCACCCAGGTGGGTGATCCGAGCTCCTCGGAGCCGGGGGCTTCCAGGTGGGAAGTGGACAGTGACTGATCAGGGCTGGCCGTCCAGGGCTTGAAGAATGGATCAGTCGCTTGGTGCACCTCCTCGGCAGCGGTCGTCATCTTGTCAGTATTCGACAGGTCAATGGCAAGGTGTGATTGGCTGTGCTCTGCTGCAATTGGCTGCCATGGATATGGGCAGTTAGACATATCTGTGAAAAAATGGGGAAATGCAACAGTTGAAATCACTGGGTAAAATTCTTCAGTTTTTTTATCAGGGCTTAATCTTTAGTGACAAACTTTTACAGGTCAGTACGCCTTTTCTGTAAACTTATCTGGAACATTTTTCCCTTTGAGACAGCAAAAAGCTTAGGATAGACCCGTTTATCAACCATTCCTGCTATTTCCTTTAGAGATACTGACTTAAAAAGTGCCTCTCTGGTGTTTGTTACATTTACTCGTTACAATAATAATAATACTTGAACATCGTTCCCAACAACACAGTGATGGGGGAAACCAGCTGAATTCAAAAGAATCTTCTTGTAATTTTAGACCAGAATTTTTTTCACTATCAAAATCTTGCTAACTGCCAGGTGCAGTAGGGTAAAGCAGCTAAACTGTTGACCACACAGTTAAACCGGCAGGAACACGGCAAAGATAGTCAAATTTTGTTCGCATTATCTTTGACATGCACCACATTTTGTAAATCACCTAGACTTGATGAACTGGTGCTGGTGGAACCAACCGCGCTGGTCCTCTCTGGGCTGTCACTGGTCAGGCTGAGTTTCTTTCTGATCGAGCGGAGCTTCTTCCTTGCTCCGCCCTGGCTGACGATGGTTATGCCCGTGTCACACAGCTCCCACATACTACTGCCTCGCTTGTAGGGCTTGCCTAGAAACGATGCAAGTTTTTAGAAGTGTTCATGGTGGGGATTTGGATGGTTGTAAAAATGACAGCCACTGAGGTTCTCATGCACTGGTTTTTGGACAGTCTTATTACCTTTCACTTTACTAAGCGTTCCCAGATGTTTACGAGGCAAGCAAGAGGGGTCTCTGGTTTTTTGACGGCAAATTGACAGTTTTGGGCATTTACCAAAATCTGGGGCAAATTTAGCACACATTGTGAGGTAAACAGTGACACATTCTTTGTCTGAGATCTACTGTCATCCAACTTTTTCAAAATCACGTGTTGGATATCAGAAAACTGGAGATAGTAGAGTTCAAGTCTAATTTCTAACCTGAAAATCTTATAGGTATTACTATAAAGAGTTGTATTCAAACTTGGTACAACTGTAAACCTTTTTAACTTGGGCAGATCTTCTCTGTAGCTGTTGGCCTAGTCAGGTGTGCACTACCTGTATCATTATTTTCCCAGTCAACCTAAGTAGGTTTTTCAAAACTGTTATTCTGAACTTCTAAATCAATTTGTTGGGTGTCTCAAATTCTAAATGTTTGATCTTGGGGTATGTAATGCAATATTTCCTCCTGTTGGTTCCTATGTGTTTTACTGATACCACTCTCGTCCGAGGCCTGCTCGTCGATTCTCCGGAACTGGCGATTCTTGCACAAATTGTGTCGCACTGAGTTCTTCCAGAATCGGCACTCCTTGGACATCTTGTAGTAGGGGTACGACTTCTCTATGAAGTCATAGATCTGACTGAGTGTGGCTCGGCAGTCTGGCTTGGACAGGAGAGCCAATCGGATCAGGTCGTTGAATGTGAGGTTGGGCCGCTCGTACATGACAACTAGAATCTAGAAACATGGACTAGAAAAAAAATAATATACTAAAGACTAAAACAGCTTTAAATCTTTATTTTCCTCACCCTGTAAAATTACCCAACTGGTACTACCCTGGTCTAAGTATTTGCACTGTAGGCCCTTCTTTGGTGTGAAACTTTTAGCAGCGTGACCAAAGTGGCAATGGCAAAATGTGACTTTTAATAAGCTTATAATGGCGTTCATTACCATTAGCACCCTATTTCTGTAATAAGGAATACTAAGTCCACTTTTTCAAACTAACTAACATTCAGACCTTGAGGATCCATTTCTTAATCTTAGTAGCTCTAGTTTAGGTAAAGTTTGACAATATTTAAACAAGAAATCCAGAATTTTTTACCCGAGTTTGGGGAAGGACAACCGCATCACTCCATTTTTTTCACGTCTTGTTACCTGACCAAGCAATTGTGGATATACTGAATTTCATAAAAAAAACTTTTATGGTTCCAGGTCAAGGAACCAGACTACATGTGCTGATTTATCTTCGTTCTTAGCTCTTCGTCACATCATTTACTCTGCCATTTTACCCCATAATGTCCCTCAAAAACCAAAGCCCTTCCCTCTTTCCTTTCTGATGTGAAAGAGGACATCACCACCAACTTATTTAGGTGAGTTGTTTCGAAAAGGTAGCCTTTCGTCTCCTTATTGTAGGAGCAGGGTGCTAATGGTAATGAACACCCTAATAGATCCTAGCCCTAACGTTACACTGATGAGTGATACAGCCCACATTGAAAAAAACATCAACATACATTCATTTACTTGCACAGGCAGCTTTTAAGGAAAACACTTCACAGATTTTTCACAAAATATCTTGTTATTCTTTTCAAGTTAAAACTCCAACCTGTTTATAAATGCACCTCCCACACCGAGACCTCAATCGGCTTACTGACGAGAGCACCAATGACAATGCAGGCTCAGCGGATTTAAACCTAGGCAGGGATCTCCCTTTTATAAGATGCCCTTGCTTCTTCAACCAAATTAAAGAGAAAGTCTGTCAAAATAAGTCATTGATCTCTGTTGATAAGTTATAAAAATTTGCATTTACCAGCCAATGCTATGCTCATAATAATGCTGTCCTTCAGTGCAGTGAAATGATATCCAATCGCAGCCCTTGATTTTGTAGGTCTGGTTACTGGTATTCTTGCGACCAGATAAAGCGCTCGTGCCCTTGGAAACGGAGCCAGACGATCTGACACCACGTGCAGAACTTCATTTTTGAAAAATGAGCCCGCCAAATATTGCAAAGTCGATAATAGTCAGTATTTTGAAATAAATTACTTATTCCTCACAATTGTAATGAAACTTTGTGGGGAAAACTGAGGATGGGGTAGCTACCTTTTGTGCCAGTTTATCTACGGTTTTCAACGGGATTTAAGTAAACCACGCGTAAAAGTATGTAAAGTGGCTTCTGAGTGTACCGTAGCTAGTGGGTCTACTGGAAAAGCCACACGAGTTCGTCAGTTTGGTTTGGACTGCCTTTTCTTTAATGTTAAGTTGTGAAGAGCAGAACACGAAATGCACGCTGCTATAACGGTAAGTTTCTTCCTTTTTCTCAGAGGAAAAATGTAGTTATTTCCTTCTTCTCTTTTCGCTGATTTCACCCCCCTCCTTGTGGGAATTTGTTTCGACAATTTTGAGAAGGATATATACTTCCCAGATAATGATAATGATTATACCGGTCAGTCTAGTGGTCAGTCATGACATTTCTGTAAAGCGGCACGCCAAAGGCAGGCCAACACCTGGATATCATGAAGTCATTGGCTATACCTTTCAATTTCTCAAATTATCAAATTAATTTGACATATTGAAAATGGTTGAGCTGTAATTTTGTTTTTTTCTTTAATTCCACCTATTTTTAGCTGGTATATTTTACTTTTCTGCGAAAGTAACGACATAACGAACCCTACAGACGTGTCAAAATATGAACTCAGAAGAGTTGGATGGCATACATGTAAATTCATATAAATTAGAGATCACCACTCGTATGATGCAGCAATCATATCGCTCATGGGCTGGCGCACAGCAGCCACCGTACACCTGTTGATTACCAAAAGTCAGATACCATTTTGGATAAAGTGGTGCAATAACAACGAACTTAGAGGTCACAGATACCAGACCAATTATTATGCGCGCGCTCCCTTTAATTTTCCCGGGAAAACTGGCAAAATGGCTGAAAACGGACTTGAAGAGAACAGGCAGGTCAAAAACACGGTTGGATTTGTGACACCAACCAAGAAAAGCCGATACAATGATACTAACGGGGAGGTGAAAAGGTGAGTGGCGGTAAATATTGGCAGACCACTGAAATTGAGGTTAGAGCTTAAAGATTTTTCGTTGCGTTTATATTGTGCACATGGTGCATAGACATGACAGACTAAGCCCATGATGATGGTCATGATGGTGTCGACTGTAACTAATCACTAGGCCTATGCCATGTATAGTAGGCATGCTAGGTCATTTTTGTAGGCCTATATCACGATGTGTGTCTGCATTGAGTTATGTCCATGTGATTATGCAGGAAAGGTCTGGAATATATCACAAACCAATTTGAGATACTTGCAGAAAGTGTTTCATAGCCTTATCGCAAATACTGCATGAGTGTTTTGCACCATGGTAGAAAGGCATTGTGGCAAGGGGAAAGGACCAAACATTGAACAATGTGCAAAATCACCAATGCAATATTTGCAATAAGGCTCATGTACATGTACGTGTAGGTTTGTGCACAGGGGCATCAAGTGTTGTTTGTAGGCCTATCAGTAGAGGCACACATCACAACTCTGGGACTGTCCCTGTGTTCAGAGTAGTCCCTTTATTTAGGGACAAAACCAGTCCCCTGAAAGAGAGAATGTCTCCTTAAAAGGGGGCATTTTTCCCAAATGGCCCTAGGACTTACTAGGTAAAAAAATATCCACATGCTATTATCAATTTGTTTTCTCTCATACATGTATTTTCCATTTATATTTAGTGAAGTTGTTTTCATGAACTTTGTGCCATGTCACTTGATTAACTATATCATAAAGAATTGATTTTCAGAAAAAAATTGTTTTGATGTGATCTTTCCCCTACCCTTTGTGTGCCATTTCAGACTGCTACTTGTAATCCTAGAGGTAAACGGTAGAATGCTTTTAAACGGCAGCCTTGGATGTTTTCTTCTGCTGAATCCAAATAAGGCAAAAAATTGTCCCATTTAGAGAGACATTCTCTCATTCTGGGGACTGATTTTATCCTTGAATAAATTAAAGGGATTTCTCCAAATACGAGGACAGTCTCTGAGGTGTGATGTGTGCTTCTACTTTATCTGGAACTCTTTCTGTTCTTGTAATTGCTGTTGTGCAACTGATTTTGTATATGGTTTGTTCATCAACAATCTGCCGGTCGGTAGACTGAATATTCAGATATTGAAACAAATTGAAAGTTGCATATTCGAAAAGTGAATTACTCGAATTGACTCAGCCCTATCAAGAAATGTTATCAGGAGAACAGCACATTAATTTTGTTGATATTTGATTGCAGTGTTACCAAGAAGCGAGACAATTACATAGGCTGGGACGAATATTTCATGTCAGTGGCATTCCTCTCCGCCCAGCGCAGCAAGGACCCAAGCTCACAGGTATTCATTTAGCAATGAAGATTTGTGTGATCTCCAGAAATTGTGTCAAGTCTTTGACGAGTTCTCTGTCCATTTCTGTAGTCGATTCTATCCAAGAAAGGGTATAAACTCCTGCACAATCCATGGCGCAGTGTTGCCTGTACTGTTGTGCGTATGGTTGACATACCTTGCGAGGACCAGGGAACAAACTAAGATGTCTACATCAGGTTCCAAGAAGTTCCAAGGAATCATTTTTAGAAATCCAACTTGAAGGAGTTTTCACAACGGAAGAAAACTTTTATTTTTCTCTGACTATTCTAAACTGCGGGAAAACAAAGGAATGTCCACATTATATGTGTAGTGTTTGAAATGCATTTATGTGTGGCACATGTGTGTAGTGAGAGAGAGCTGGTCAAGTATAGCTCAGAATGAGCTGCAGGAATATTGTTACAGATTTGCCCCTGTTTTCCTATAAGAAGCAACTTTGCTTGTCCTCAACTTTTTGTTCATTTGAAGCAAGATGCCACAAAGTCAGAAGTTTATGACATAACATGCCATTGTATAAACTTTTCCCGGTGGTGTGCAAGGGTTCATTATGTCTCCTTTTTTTTTCTCTCTCTCTCCCCTAAGGTTGGTGCTTGCATAGTAAATCAGGAAAAGAAAATTGTGGGCATCGGTTACAACGGCATGCCCAACAACTGTGGGGACGATGAGTTACCTTGGGGGAAAGAGGGGGACTGGCTGGACCAGAAATACGCATACGGTGAGACTTCTTCATAGGGCCCCAAGTGGGGATTGCATTTTGATTGCATTCACTCTCCCAAACTGGCATTTACAGTAAAACAATTGACTGTTTGTGCCCTCTAAGTCACGTGACCTACAGTGGATATCAAATATCAACAAGCCTGGTATATTCCATTATTGTTTACCACAAATGAAGCTGATTTTCGGTATCGCACTCAGCACATCAGTGGCCTGAGTACTTTACCGACCGTTGGCTTTAGTTTTGATAAATGACATTTATGACACAACATATGTCTGTTGATGTTTGATACCCACTCGTGGTTAAGAGACTTATTGGGCACAATCGGTCTATTGTATCACATGGTCTCTTTAAAAATGAACAGTGTCGCTGCATTTTGACCAATTACAATTGGAAACTGGTATTATTCAATCTGATTTGTTAAGGTAATAACATTTTGTGGAGTTGTGTAATGGGTTCTGGAAAACAGGGTCAGTTGAGTGATCCAAACTAAAGGTATTTCGTTTATTTGGCCTTTACTTGTGTTGTAGTCAAGACATTGAAGCAGGTTGCCAAAATAAGTCATGAAAATCCTACAGTGATTGCCTGCTGTAATAGATAGGTGGTTGTTAAATTAATTCAGTCTGAACTGTCGCACAGTGGAAAAGTCAGTGCTTGCACATATATTTCAACAAGTTTGCATAACAACTCCATTTACACACTTGCATATGGAAGAATCCAGTTTTTGGATAACCCTTGATTGCCGTGTGACATGAAAATGCTAACGTCCAATTTTTGGAGATTTGGCATCAAGAGTTGTGCAAGAGTTGGAAGAAAAAAAGTCGCGGAAAGGACAGTCTGACATTTGCAGCGGTTTAAGAGGAGTGGCAAAATGTCCATTGGAGAGTAAAACTGACTCCCCTTCCAGTCTGTATGAGGTGAAATAGTTCTGTTTCCAATTCATGTTTTTGCATCAGTTTGTCATGCTGAAATGAATGCCATCATGAACAAGAACTCCTCGGATGTCAAAGACTGCACCATCTACGTGGCCCTGTTCCCTTGCAACGAGTGCGCCAAGCTCATCATCCAGTCAGGCATTAAAAGAATCATGTACCTGTCAGACAAGCACCACGACAAGCCAGCCACCCAGGCCTCCAAGAGGATGCTGGATCTGGCCCAAGTGGAATATGTGTAAGTTGAGAGGCAACTTTCCCCATCTTGCTTTGCTATCAGTCAAAACAATGTAACCATATTACTGAGACTGGAAGGAAAAATACAGTCGACTCTCGGTAATACGAGCTCGGGTAAGATGAGACTCCAGTTTAGACGAGCACATTTGCTAGTCCCGACTGAATTGTGCACATTCCTATGAGACAAATATGTGTAATATGGGCTCGGATGTCACAAGATTTCGGTTGGACGAGCATTTTCGCACGCAGGCTGAGCGCAAATCTATTGTTATCTGTCTATTTAGCGCAAGCTTTTTTGAAGGAAACTTTTCAATTAGCCAGTCCATTCAATTTTGAAAGGTGCTTCCGTAATTTATGCGTGTACAGTAGAACAGCACTGTGGTTTTCCCTCACTGAATCAAGCTGTTTGTGTCCGGTGCTGCAAGAGAGACGAACAATGGACATTTTCAGTCCCCGTACCCAACGTAGAAATTCTGTGTGGCGGCTCTCGTACCGCCTAAACACAAGCGAGTGCCACCGAAAGTGCTACGATATTTAGGACAGTGGTGAACAAAGAAAGTCTTTTATTTGATTCCCCCACCCCCAAAAATTCCCCAAGACCAAAGTCCCCCCAGGAAACAAATAAAAATTGTATTTCGTAACACCTGGCGCAAAAAAACGTGACCCCCCGGTCAACAAATAGTTACCTGCTCCCCTCCGTAAACATGAAAATATTACCCCTTCCGATGGTGACATTTCTATAAATTCTCAGCTTATGAAAATCATGACTAAACCGTGGTTTTTAGTCAAAAAATGTTTAAAGAAATGATATCCACAAGGTTTGAAGAAAAAAGTGAATCCCTCGCTAATAATTTTTCACCAAACCCACACGCCATTCCAAAGTAAAATCCGATATTCGCCCTCTGCTGTCCACACCACCAATAGCTGGTTTCCTCCCATTTTTATGTGCAACAAGAGCAGCTCTGGTGTTGGTTACCAACTAAAGTGGTAATGTACTTGCTTACGTGCGTGCATGTGGATCTCATCACAGTATACGGGGCCGGGGATGTGTGATATGGCATTGCTCTGAATCGACATGACTAGTGGAAATTCCACTTCCTCCATTCTTACATTTGATAATTATTCTTTGTTACAAGTCTTCATTCATCAAACTGTATCTCACTTTCATAAACAAACTTTTTAAAATCAAATTCATGTAACAAAACGTACGTTCCTTTAAACAAAAAGTTATGCATACTTGTACACACGTACACTTTACCTATGGTCGATTGGTGATACATGTACATACGTCGAGCAGGACGGCAGCTTTTGCATAAGACGAGGTCCAGATAATACAAGCTAATTTAATAAGTCCCAAGGCCCTCGTATTAACGAGAGTCGACTGTAGTCTGTACCCTTTTATCACTATGTGATGATGTATCACTGTTGCCAGTTGGGTCTACTGGAAACAAGACAATCATGGCAGCATTGTGATAAAGGTGTATGTGGAGTTGCTTTTAGGTGAGCTGGGCCACATTCCACTGGCATTTTGGGGACTATCACGTTTATTTCATTCTAATAATAAATCAAATGTACACAAATGCAGTGCTGTAGCTGGGAACCTGAAGAAACCTTACCATGGGAGAATATTTGTAACCCAACCAAATGAGTTGCAAGTCGCTTTAAATCATTTTCCAGCTCAAGTACTTGAATAGCATCTGTCATAATGTCAAGACAGTGGACATTTAGCTGTTGCCAGCTACATTCAACTAAAAGGCCCAAAGCATTAAGCTGTTGGTTCTGTGTCAGTTTGGAGGAATTTCCTATTTCCTGAACTAGGTGATGGCGTCTAAATTTTTTCTCTGCTTAAAATTACCTTTGAATTTTTGCTATATTCTACATTTCAGGAAGTACATACCAAAAAAGCACAAGGTTGTAATCGACTTCTATGAGATTGACCCAGAGTCTCGACCTCGGCCGTCGAGCTCCATCATGTCACCGTGAGTGTTGGAAGGAAAGAGCATTCAACCAGGTGGAGTCTACTCCAAGCGGAGTGTCGAAGCTCATGCCAGATTATGTTCAAACCTTTTTAACAAGAGATTGGGACCTAAAGATTTCCTTGTTACAAGCAGGATCTTGTATTAACAGTGCACTTAACGAGGTTCAACCATATCAGGTTTTCTGTTTAAAAAGTGGACAAGTTTTTGAAATTGTGTTCAGGTCTTGAAAATGCAAGCCTGGAGTGGTGTAAAGATGGCAGTTAATTTATACTAAAAGTAATATACATGTATCTATTTTTTGTGTGTTTTTTGTAGATGTATTAGTTTGGGTATTTTGTTGCCTTGCTCGTCTATCAATAATATAAATCAAGCCAGTTTTGAGGGGGATATCACTTTGCAAGATGTGTAAGGAGTACAACATTTCTCAATAGTTCTGGATTGGCATTGGCTGTAGCTTCTTGTGGATTGGTGTTTTTATGATTTGATGCTGGTTTGCTCTGCTAAAGTTGAAGATTTTGGGATTTATTTAATGGAGGAGGGAGACAATCCAATCGAGGGTTTGCATGGTTGCCATCTTGCAGGCCAGTGCTTTTGTTCCGCAGGGTATGCTCAAATTTACAAAAGAACTGCCCTGCAATATGGCTACCACACAGAGCCTGTATTGGATGCTTGGGCCGTTTTCCAATACTCAACTCCAGCTCCGTCTCTGGCTTCATTCCCAAAACCAATCCCGGATTGTGGGCCTGAAGTGTTTAAATTACATTAGATTACTGTAATTTTGGGCCTTATTGCATCTTATTTGATGTTCTGTGGCACTATTAGACTGATTACTGTGCTTACAGCTTCAAAGTGAGCTAGTAAAAAACAGTTGAAGCCTGAGACGGAGCTGAAGTTGAGTATTGGAAAACGGCCTTGGACTGACCCACATGGTTCATGCCAAACAGTGTTCTGCATTATTGGCTCTTGAACTTAAACAAGCTGATACCACCGTAGATGACCTACACATCAAAGTTCTAATTTGAATTGTCAGGTTTTTATTTTATTTCTTTAGTAATTTTTAATTTTTACATTTCTTCTCTTTTCGCTTAAATAGAATAAACTGAAGTGAAGTTAAGATAAAGGAATTGGCATTGAAATTTGGTGGAAAACTATTCACTTATTTCAGTTTTTCTTGTTTTTCTTGGACTGTTTGCATATAAAAAAATCCACTTAACTCTTCAATCAGCTGGTATGAAATCATTAAATGAGGCACAGTGTTGCTAGAATGAGCAGCACAACATATTGGAACAAACACACATACTCATTCAGCTTTCAATCACTAATTAGCTTAAATGCTTTTAATTATCCTGGACTTAGGGGGAACTTTGTCTTGACCACACCATTGGAAACTGTTTGAATTTTAAAATCTGTTTAGGGTTGTGTTTTGGTTGGAATGGAAAGCGAGGTTGCCTTGAAGATGTGCCACTCCCGTTCCTTGAAAGCTCCCGGGCATTTATGAATTTTTGAAAGTATGTTTTATTATATTTTTTGATTAATTAAACAGCAAACAAGTATATTTTACTGCGCCAGGAAGCATTTCTGAATATGTCAAGGACAGTCACATAGCCAGTTTTTTTTTTTTGCCATTTAGACAATAGAACTACTCCTAGTCAGTCAAGTTAGTGATTTGAAAGGCATTGCTTTTATCACCTATTTTCACCATCCTGGTTTCTGCACGTAGGGTCTTCTCTTTTGAAGTCACTGTTGTGTTTTCCTACAAGTAGATGCGAAAACTATGGCTTGCCATCAAAACAAAAGTAAAAGAGTAATTCAAAGTGTCGAAAATCCCACACAGCTATCAGAACACCAGATAATAATACATGTACCACTTAAGATGAAAATACAACCCTATTGGAAAGTTAGTGGGACAATTTGAACGAATTTGAGGTAAAATTGAAAAGCAATCAAAAGGTGATACGACTGCAAACTGGCCGCCCATACTATACGTTATGGGCAAAACGAGAGTAGTCTGTAATGGTCTATTGTGTCAGCGTCAAGGACCATTCCATGGTTGCCTTGAAAATGTCTACCCTTTGTAGTGGTTTAAAGAAATTCCATTTGGGGCTATTCTACTGAAGATGCAAGGTTAATGTCCAGCAGTTTTAATTTTGACTGGAAAAAAGTCAAAAGTGACACACAACATCAAAAGAGATCCCCTACCCTGTCATTCTGCTGAGCAGATATGCGCGGAATAGTCTTCAGTCAGTTGCTCATAACATATTGAACTTTGATGTAGAAATATACTTGTACCGAATGAATTGATTGCTAAAAAGGTTGGCCAGTTTCGATTGAAATGGGGACTTCATGAAATAAGGAAATTGATTGTGAATCCAAGGACATCTCTGAGTTTGTTTGGAGAGTAGTCACCTACAGCCCCAATTTAATAATTAGTAAGGTTTACCTCGTTTGTTGATTTCCCGCGTAATGCTTGTTTTGTCAAAATGTCTGGGATAGCCAACTTACTCTTGTTTCGACACATTCACCAAAGTCATTTCTAACCAAATGCATGATCCGACCTTACTCCTTCCTAGACTACGATAGGTTTTCATTTTCAGGATGTCTGACACGTTGCAGCTTAGTGAAAAATTTGTTACAAAGTAGAAGGTTTATCTAAATCGGCTTAAAATATCAAATCTATGAATGATGTCAGGGATCTACTTTTCTGTTGGCCAAACTCACCTAGTTGATTTGGGAAAGGTTAGATATATTTCACGCACAAAAAAAACCAATATGGAAGAAAGGATGTAAGTTTCCCCTTGCTATTGGAATCCAATTTCGGGCCGACAATTCAAAAATGGACAACGTACCTCGCAGACAGTACACGCCTTTTACTTATTCTAACAAATCTTGTAAGAATGTATGCACCAACAAGGAGCCCATCTGAAATCAACAAAAACGTCTTGGGTTATATTTGCTATTTTGTACGAGGTGTCAATAAATGCGTTTTCCCTTCATTGTAATGGATGTTTAAGGTTTGGAGGGATGTCACTTTTCAGCCACATTTTAGTTGAACTTTCATTGAAATGACAAGATACAAGCCTTTTTACTATGTATATTTATTAATTTGAAAATTGTAAAAACTGTGTTTGGTATCTCCAGGTATTTTGACTTCCACCTTACATGCGCCTCTTTTTAAAGTTCCGATGTACTTTTTAAAAGTGGTTTTAAAAAGCGATACTTGTGATATCTTGGCAGTTCGCAGAGCTTTCCATAAATTTTTAATGATATTGAACAATTCGACGTTTACAACCTTTTTTTGGATACTTGATTCGTGTGAAAATTCTTAAAAATCAAGGTAGTGGCCATTGGCCGGCCCGCAGCACTCCTGAATCTCGGTGTTCCATCCCCATTTGTACGCCACATTTGAGTGGTCTTCTTTCCGACTGCTGTCATTTGAAATGTTTGTCCCACATCACAGCAGTAACGTGGCTCAAAGTATGTACAGAGGGCGCACCCACATAAGTACCATCTCTACGATTGAGTTCGGGCAGAAGTAGGCGAAGGAGAGTTCTAGACCAGCTTTTCCCTCCTATACCTCATCGACCCCCCCCTCAACCAAGACTTTCCCTACCCTCCAGACCTTTCCCCCGATTCCCCGGGGCTCTTCTCAACCCCCAGGATTTCTCCCAATCAAGGGAAAAAGATCGCCGATCGACGACATTGCACAAAACGGCCTAGATTTCCCTCCTCAACCAAAAATTCTGAAAAAAAATTTCTCAAGATTTCTCTAGAAGTAAAATGGGTTTAACATTTGCCACTAAATTCGAAAACGCCAAATCAGTCGCGACTCACGCGGCGTGGTTAACTGTAAACGGTTTCGAAATGGAACGTGATTTAATCGAGCAAGCGAAACTGGACGTACAGAGCCAAAAGCATCACATTTGCTGGGTGAGACAAACCTGAAACGGAAATGAAGTTTATAAACGGCAGCAAATCTTTATTCGCAGTGATTTGCTTACCGATTAAAATTGAAAAATATTAAATTTCGTTAAATGGAAACAGACACGTTAAACCAAAAAGCCAACGTCAATTGTTTCTTTTACAAAAAGACACGGTTCAATCTGTTAATGTGGTAGATGCGTTCAAATGTATTCATTGTTTAAATTCTGATGGTTTTTTGAATGCATCGACTGCAATGAATGTCACGACTGCCATAAATGTCAGAACTGTAGGAAATGTACCCAATTTTCGACTTGTGACGAATGCAGCGAATGTACAAATTGTGTATTTTGTTATGATTCTTACGACTGTGAAGATTCTAATGCCTTAGAAAGTTGTGAAGCTTGTTTTAATTGCAGCAATTGCATAGAATGTTTCGGCTGTGTCGATTGTGTTTGCAGCGTTAATTGCATTGAATTGGATGGAATGGATCATGTGGTGCTTATCGATGGCCGGCACAAAATAATCAGGCACAAACGAGCAGACGATTTACCGTCTAATGCTGATTCTAAGCTGGATTCCGATTTATATGATACTTTGGGTTACTAGTTGAATATGACATTGACATAGAAAATTTAATTTAGAGTAGATACTGAACATGAAAATTTAATAGACGCGGCCGATTAACGTCGCTTAAAAAATGAAAAAAATGTCAAACTAAAATACAAAGTCAGAAGCATGTCAACCCAAATTTACATCGTAACCAACGACCAAGAGCGTCTCAATGCTAGCAATGACTCCAAAGGAATCCTACAAATAGTATCACACAGACTACCAATATCGGCCTTTTTATATTGATAAAATGACCGACTCACAATTTCATCATCATAAGAGAGTGATAAGTGAAATTGAACACCATTATGATCACTGTTTCCAAGACCAGAACAGAACAAGTTCCAAAGCCAGAACCTATACATGTACATGTATTACCACCCACGCCTATGCAGGCAAAAGCACCTCAAGAGAAAAAAAAACCATTAGACACTCCTAATGATGAGAAATTGTCGTTAACTATTAGAACTATTGCAGTAGCCGGAATTGGTGTTATGTTGTACAAGGTATTAACTTAAAATATTAACTTTGACCTAAACCAAAAAATAAAAGGCATTAAAAATGCCCTTTCTCAATTTTGAGAAAGGGTATTTTTAATGCCCTAAATTAATCCGTTAAACCGACTTACATCTTTTGCACATAAGTCGAAATCAAAACACTTACGCCTACAAACAACGTCCAAACGTGTTCGGCTCTCCAACCGACTGTCTTGCTCACCACGTTTAATATCTGGTAATGCCGCAAGCGCTTTCAAGCCTAGTTTTTTTCAACACATTTGACAAATTTTGCAATTGCCATTTGATCCAATCGGTTACGCCGCCTGGTTTAGGCTTAGGTGGGTTTAGGCTTAGGCGCCGGTGTAGGGGTAACACTAGGCGCACCAACAGCTCTCACAGCAGCCACTTTGCTAGATACTATTGTACTGATAGCTAAACTAAAAGCCGTTAAAATGCTGACGATCGTGACGCCTTGTTCACGAGACAACACCCGGATTTTCTTGCGTAAAGTTAAATCACCATCCATCACCGCGGTAATCGTTTCTTTAATTCGGTTAATCTGGGTTCATATCCAATCGCTGTTTCTGTTAATAACTTCTAATCGGCCACGTCGTTCAACTTGTAAATCATCCAATTGTTCTTGAATTTCCGCACGTTCTGCATCAGTCGCAGCTTCTTCTAATTCATTTTAACCCGTTGAATCTTTTCTTCTAATT